GAGGAAGTGTCTCTCTGGCTAGTATCTTGAGATTTATGAGGACTCAAAGCCCATTCCTAACAGTGACACACTTCCTCCAACAGGGCCACACCCACTCCAACAGGGCCACACCCACTCCAACGCAATGGCTCCCATTAATGCTATTCCCTTTGGGGGGGAGCATTTTCTGTCAAACACCACTATCAGCAACTGGACTTTTTGATGTCATAAGTGTATTTGTAGAAGCTAGAATGGAAAATGAATCTTAATTTACTTACTAGAGCCAATTAATTGGTGCTCGGCATGTCTGTGGGGAAGGCTGATGAGGCTATCTTCAGACCCAGTAGGAAAGGCTGCTTTGGTCAATTTATATCAGTGAAGTGGAGGGCGCTATGTATTTATGGGCCTTGATAAAATTACACTGCAACATGATTCTTAGGTTCATGTGGGACAGACCTTTAGATTTGCCACGAGAAACTGCAGCTCATCCCGAGATAGTTTCTCAGAAACAGCCAGATCAAGCAGAAATTTATTTAGCAAAGCTAAGTGTCAATACTCAGAGGGAGATTGCAAGAAGAGGCCTCAAAGGGAGAATCTGAAGGGGGAGTTAAGAACTGATTGCTTAAAAAACTTTGACGAGTATTTATCAACTCTTAAGGTGTAGGCTTCCCGTGGTCTTGGAAAGGCTGTAAGTTGTTGTTGTTGGTGGTGGGGTTCACAACTGTGATGCGAATACCGTTATGTGGAAGCCAGTATCTATTGAAGATGCAGACTCTTTGTTAGTATACACATGTGACAACTGGGCAGGTTTTCTGGGTGCTTTAGTTTTGAAGATGGCAGGAAGAGCCTAACTGTAGCTTCCAAGATGCTTAATCACAACGTGGCATTTGGGCCCTTAGGAAACATGGCTTCTGAGGGCCAGTTGCAATTTTCCTAGGTTACTTTACATCTAACTCTATGCCTATCCAGTCTTGATATGGCTAGCTTTGGGATAGCCGTATTGAGAAGCCAGGAGTTCTGATTCCAGTTGTCTACCCTTGTCTTTAGCACTATGGGAAAAACAAAAAATGGTTCTTAGAGATCAGTGGTTTCCAACCCTATGAGTTGTGGTCCCTTTTGTGGTTGATTGACCCTTTTATAGGGGTCCCATATCCGATATCCCACATATCACTAGCAAAATTGCAGTTCTGTAGCAGCGAGAATGTTACGGTTGGGGGGGTCACCCCAGCACGAGGACTGTTGAGAACCACGGTTGCAGAGTGTTCACATAGGAGTAGATGACTTTTAAGTATTGCACATTTGCAGTGACTTGAGAATAGAAGATGGTCAGCATTATAAAGCTCCCTATAGAAATAAAATTAACTTTTGAAGACTGTAGGACTTAAGGTGGTTGACACGTCGAAGAGAATTCACCACAGAGTCCCCCCGGGCATAAAAAACTTGGACAGTGTTCACAGTGGCCTCTTAACATACAGGGGAGGGCATAGTAGCTGCTTCCCCCAAAGTGAGATGTCTTACAAGAACAGACAGACTCAAGAAGCCTAGTTGGTCAGTGGCCTTTTGTATCAAAGGAGACATGGGTGCTATTGGAATATGTCAGTCACCACAAATGTGAGCTGGTTGTTAGGTAGATGTGACTATTTATAGGCATGGGCATCTCATTCACTGGCTGTTCCCTCATCTCAGCCTAATCCATGGCTAATAATAATGTTCCCACATTCATTAACAGACAAGAGATAGCCAGCCCTGGCTTCATGCTTTATGGATGGAGAGGCCCTTGTGAACCAGAATATCATAATCTATAATCTGTCTCTCTCTATGAAATATTAGGTATAGTTCTCAGGAACTACGATATTCTATATACAGTTCCTGAGAATAAATCACAATTTTGAGCACTTCAGACAGTTAACTTTCTTCTGGGTCTGTGTGGTGCTCTCCTGTAATCCCCACCCTTGGGAAGCTGAGGCAGGAGGATAGCGCTAGCCAGACTATTTGGGCTAACTAATGAAACCTGTCTTAAAAAACAGCTAACCAGCCACCTATAACCAACTGACCCAACAATAACAATGAAGTCACCTCCCAATTTTCACTTCAGAATTATATTGGTTAAGTGCCTTAAACTATAAGCTGTGTATTCACTGTTTTTCCCTCTTGAAGTCGAAGGCAGGGCACCCCGTCCTCTGAGGATTTTCTTGATCTATTCTAATCCCCCTTTCCTACTAATGAATGGATGTAGGCATCTGGAGAGTCAGTGCAATAGTCCCTCGATGAATGTTTCAGAACCTATTGTTTTCAATCATTGCTGTTGCATACACACATCATCCAGGTGCCCTACACACACACTAGTTGCTAAAGTCTTCTAGAGGCGATGGAGACTGATAGTTTCACTGAGTTTTTATTTCCTTTTGCACTTGTCCTCCACTCTGTTGACTCAGCAGCGATGTCCTGAGGACCCACAGTTTAATTGTTCTTACAGCCTGTGTTGCTACCAGTGTGCCTCTGCCTTGAAGTGCAGGGAAGAGAGTAGAAGGACTCAGGACACTGAGTCAGTCCCTGCCCTTCTGTCAATGTGTACCCATGGATGAATGGACAATTTGAGTAACACACATCAGTTAAATGTAATCATAGTGTGTGGCTGCTGTGAGGAAAGCAACTTCTAATTCTGAAAACCACAGCAAGCCAACAGGAAGCCAGTTCTTTGCAAAGGGTCAATAGCCCTCATCAAAATACATTTTGTTTTGTAGAGCTGTGTGGTTGTTTGGAAAATGTGGACAGGACTTATTGGTCACGTGGAACCAAACTTTCGGGATGTTGACTGCTATTCTCAGGCCTGCAGAAGTGCCTCTGTAGAGTATGACCTTCTGCCTCTGAGTGATGTTGGTCTGCGGTCCTCTCCACTCCGTGATTCATATATGCATTGACCCGGACAATGGAATTTTGTGGAAGAACAAAATTGCAAGGCCTCGCCCCCTTCTGTTTTTGTCAGTGTGGCTTCTCAATTGCATTTTCAAACATGGAAAAACACAGCCTTCCTCACCAAGGGCCGTGAATAATCATGTGTACTTTGAAATGGTTTGAGGGAATGCACCAGGCATGTTGATGGGAAGGGCACTGTTTGTAAGTTTGCAGGAAATTCTCACTGTTTGGTTGAGACGGCAAAAAGGCAGAGAAGTGCTTTGGGTTAGATCAAGGAGCTGCAATAAACTGCATCTTTAGAACCATCCAATGAAAATGTCTCCCTTGGGAGGAGCTATTGGGCCCCCAGACTGATATCTGGGAAGCCAGCATGGGACTGACTCAGGCCCCCCTGAATATGGGTCTCAGCCAGAAGGACTGAGCAGTCGAAGGGACCTCAGACAGTGGAGCCAGGATGTATCCATGGTGCACAAAAGGACCTTGCAAACACATCCCCAATGGAGGGATAACTGCCTTAATCTAGAGACAGGAGAGAAGCCCTAGTCCCTACTTCACATGACCTGTCAGATCTACATGACCCCAACTGGATGGCATTCCCCTACATATGGAATTGGGGTGGGGGATCGGAGGGGAGGGTGGTTAGAGTGCATGTGAGAGGGCAGAGAGGGTAAAAGGGAGGGAGGGAGAGGGAACTGGGATCGACATGTAAAACAAATAAAAAATGTCACCCTTGGGGGAAAGGAGGCATGTAAATGAATCATGGAATGTAGAGGACCTTCAGGCCGTGTGATCTACCAAGGCTGCAAGTAGGTATACCAGCATGTGAGCCTCAGCCTGTTTTCTAATACTCAGTTGAAGGCAACTTTTACCATTTCCCTTCTCCCCTTCCCTCCCACCAATAAAAATGCCTCTTAAGGACAAACATCTACGTCTACAGGAGCACAGTCCACACTGTCACCACAGTCAGAGTCGCCTTGGATGCCACTAAAACACTAATGTCTGGATTTCATCTAGACTTACTAGGTGGGATGATGACCTGGGGTCTGTGGTCTCATATACTCTGCACAGTGTTTCAGAACCATCCATTAAGAGTCTAGAAGGTAGAGGCTGGAGAGATGGCTCCAAGGTTAAGAGCATTGACTGCTCTTCCAGAGGTCCTGAGTTCAATTCCCAGCAACCACATGGTGGCTCACAGCCATCTATCATGAGATCTGGTGTCCTCTTCTGGTGTGCAGGTAAATATGCAGCTAGAACACTGTATATGTAATAAAAGTAAGTAAATAGAAGAGTCTTAGAAGTAGGCAGGTGGTGTGTGGTCAGAAACGACCACTGACTTTTACCATCCCTGAATTTATCGAAGACAGTCATTCAGGATATGTCGTTGTTCTTAGTGCCAGGCATGTGGTGAGCCGAATGGAGCCAATGATGGCTCAAAGAGTAATTATACTGGCGTTCCTGTTTTTCTAATGCCTGCTTTGGGCTTAAGTTATAACTATTAATATTGGTTCTTTGCCCCCCAACTGGCAATATTTACTTGCTGTATATTACTCTGCTATCCTTTGTGGAAGGAAAATGATTACTTTGCAAGCACCCTCCAATGTGCAGGCCCACTTCAATCTGTTGATACACAGTCCCTGGCCTCCAAATATCTCCCAACAAGTCCACAAATAGATCAGCGAGAGTCTCAATTACCTCTCCGTGCAGGTAATTATTACTTCTGCCATTTAAGTGAAATTTCAGTACATTGCTTATAGCAACAAATTTAGGAGCATATTTCTGCTGTACCTGCTTCTATTCATGGTATAGATTTAAAATTCCATTTGCATCAAGGGACAGTGCTGAACTGTCCTTCAGCATGAATTTGCCTGATATTATATAAAATAACACAAGCTCATTTTCTCTCCCAACTTCCAAGAGACTTGAAAGCAAGACAAATAGCTAGCCCTTCCCAAACACCCAATTTTCCCTGCACGGGGAGGGGGGTCTGTGTCCTGTGGTAGACTAGTAACTGAGAAGTTCTGTGGTTACTGGACTAGTAAGCGTGATGGCATAGCATTTTGGAAGCCTCACTGTGGACTTGACAGATGCTGTGGTATGTTTTGCAGCATGCTCTTTCTGACAAGGCGTGCATAAAAGCCTTTGACCCAAAGACAACCTGCTTGCAGGAGTGCCTAATCACCACCTTCCAGGATGCCTATTTTGTTTCAGAAAGTTTTGAAGAAGCCAAAGAAAAGATGAGGTAAACTCGCGTTTCTTCTATACAGAAAATAACTTGTACATTTCCCTGGCTGTTCTATTTCTCGTACCAATGGTGGTTGACTGTGTATCTTTCTGTTCTCGTTTGTTCTACAGGGACTTTGCCAAATCAATTACCCGACCCTTCTCAGTGTACTTCAACCCCTACACACAGAGCATTGAGATTCTGAAAGACACCAGAAGTATTGAAAATGTGGTGCAGGACTTACGCAGTGATCTGAACACCGTGTGTGATGCCCTGAATAAAATGAACCAGTATCTGGGGATTTGATACCTAGAGGCCAGTGGTGTCCGCATGGAGATTTTGAGGGCTTAGTAACCATTCAGTCAGTGTTATCCAACATCAGTAACTTTCTGTGTCATGGTTGACTAGTAAGCATGCAATTCTGTATGTCTACACCCCTGTGTTAATATACAAAAATACTCTTAAGGAACCCATGCAGATAACCATTCATCATTTGAAAGATGTGATATAGTTAAATGTTTCAAATAGATTTGACGCTTTGTTTAGTGGACAAACCGTAAACTTGTGTCTTTAAAATTTGTAGCAGACATTCCTCTCATGATTCTATTGACCTTTTCCTCCTTGGACCTGTGACTTTCCTCTGTTCATTAGATAAAATGAAGATATTCAATCATATCTGTGTTATTTGAGACAAACTAGAGTTGCTCCAAGCTCTGCTCATCACAGCCACAAAAGATTTAGTATTCTACTTGAGGAATTGTTCAGAAACACAGTGGTTGGCATGATTTTGGACTGAGTGTTCATCCCATACAAGAAAAGAAAACTTATGAATAGGGTGTATAGGCTGCACTGACCTTGTAGAAACTGATGTGTGGCAAACTTCCTGGAGTGTTTTGGAAGGAAACACTTCGAGACTATTTGGAAAGCTTAAGCTGAAGGGGAGAAGCGTCTTGGGACTGTGAATGTATTGTTGGAATAAAATGAATTACCGTCTCACAGTTGACTCATCTCTTTAGACTGAGACTCCTGAATACCACAGGGATGTAAGAACCATCTGATTCCAAAGATCTGGAAATGGGGGTCACAGGGAAACAAAGGGATTTTGGCACAGTGAGGTGCGTAGCCATCATAATCCATTCAATTTTCATTTTGGACTTCTGACAAGTCCACTGTAGCATATGTTTGTGTTTGTGTTGGCATAGAATGAATATTAATGTTTATAAAACTAATGCTTATCAATAAATGGTAGTTTGCCTCCAACCGGACATCATTTTCATCTCCCATCTCTAAAACAGGTCCTATCTGTGTGGAGTGGTTTATTTTCTCAGTTTATTTTCTAGGTAACTCTGGGTGGTAAACACGAGTGATTGGTGGTCCTTGCTATAAAAGGTTAATGAAACAAGGGTCTGTTAGCATATGGAAAACTGCTGAATTAATCTTTGGATGGGCTCCCTCATTGAACTGTCCCCCTGACTCTGATTCTTTGGGAGGAGTACAGAGATTAGATAGAGTGGGAGAGGATGGGAACTGGAAGAAGGTATCACAGAGACTTTTAGGTTAGTGCCTTAGTTACTTTTCTGTTGTAAAATGCCATGGCCAAGGCAACGCGTAGAGTGTTAAATTGGGGTTAACCTTATAGATGGTTAAACGATGGGGAAACAGGGTGGCAGGACCAGTTACCGAGAGCTCACATCTCTAACCACACCCAGTTGAGAGCTCACATCTCTAACCACACCCAGTTGAGAGCTCACATCTCTAACCACACCCAGTTGAGAGCTCACATCTCTAACCACACCCAGTTGAGAGCTCACATCTCTAACCACACCCAGTTGAGAGCTCACATCTCTAACCACACCCAGTTGAGAGCTCACATCTCTAACCACACCCAGTTGAGAGCTCACATCTCTAACCACACCCAAGAGGCAGAGAATGGCATGAGTCTTTTTGAAGACCCAAAGCCTTCCTCAGTGACACACCGTACTCCTTACAACTTCATCCTTCCCGAATAGACCCATCAACTGGAGACCAAGTATCCAATCAGATGAGCCTATGGGGTTTTCTTCTCCAAATCACCCCATCCTACTCCCTGGCCTCCATATGCTCATGGCCATTTTATAACTCAACCCAGCTTCACAAGTCCTCAGTCTTCTGGTTTCAACATTGTCAAAAGTTCAAGAATCTGATGTCCTTTCTGAGACTCAAGGTAAATCACAAACTTCCAACACATGATGGCACAGAATATACGTTGCCGTTCCAGAAGGGGAGATTGTGGGCAGGGGGCAGTGGAACAATACTGTTCCAGCGAGATGGACACCTAGGAAGATGGACACCTGGCAGGAGCCTGTGGCTCCATTTCTGACGTCTGAGGGCTTAGGGGCTCTGCCTTCCGGCTTTGTTACCTGCAGCCTACTCTTAGGATGGTTCCACTCGTGGTCTGCAGGCATCTCACAGTTCTGGCATCTCCAAAATCTTGGGGTCTCCAACTCCACCCAGATGTTACTTTCACGCTTCACGCAGTGGCCTTTCAAGGCTTCTGTGAAGGGAGATCCTTGCCACACACATTTCCTGGCCTCCTTATCTGTGGTGACTTTAAGTCCAGCACCACAGGATGATGCTGACAAGTATGGATACCTGCTGGGGTGGAGCCTGGCCCCTTGAACCATATTTACAGAAGCTCATGTTCTTTCCAGGAGCAGAAAATTCCTTAAGCCATGTTCTTTATAACTTGTAAGCTTAGCTGGGTGGGTTGGTTGTGCTGAGAACATCTTTCCCTTTATTCCAATGAGGACCTAGCTCTCTTTAATGGAGTTAATCGCTTACCTGTTAACTAGTGTTAGCAAGCTTGCCAATAAACTTACCACGGTCCTTTTCATCTCCAAACTGTACACCTGGTGTTTCTTTCTACCCCAGTTCCTCTTCAATACCCACATGAAAGGGATTACTAATAACTAAATAACAGAATCAATATTAGGCTGTCTTGAAACATCCACTAAAGAAACTAGTTCATTTCTTTCAAATTTAGCCTCTGGCAAGTTCTTTGGACAGGGTGGAAGGCATCCCTATTGCTTGCCAGAATATGTACAAGAATGGTGTCGAGGCCAGTTGCTAGTATTGCTCTATCTGAATCCTCTTGAACTGGACCTCCATGGCCCATACAGCTGTCAGCACTACACCGTCTTCCATTATGCTTCATTTACAATAGGCAAGTACTTTTCTACCTCCAAGTTCTAAAGCCACCTACGCTCCTCCTAAAAATAAAAGCATGGTCAGACCTTTCACAGCAATAACCCATTCCTGGTACTGGTTTCTGTATTAGCTACTTTTCTATGCTGTGATCAATCACCATGTCAAGACAGCTCATACTATAAGGGGTTTGAGTTGTGAGTTGAGAGCTCACATCTTAAAGGGCAAGCAGGAGGCACAGAGTGCACTAGGAATGCAGGGGGCTTTTGAAGCTCCAGAACTTGTCTCCGTGGCATGTGTCTTCCCAAACAGTTCCACTAACTGCTGGGGGCACTCCTAATATACGGGGACCACTACCATCCAAATCAGCACAGTAACAAACCCACTTGGAACGGAGCTTTGAGCAGTTTACAAGGATGTCCTTTTAATAGCCCATTACTGACAACAATTTAAAATAAATTCAGATTATTATATGGGACTACTGGCCAGAAAACTTAGGTGTCAATATGTAGGAGAGGAACGTCATAAATAGTTGAAATACATATCAGGGAAAGGTCAAACAGATGAAATTTCAGGGCCTGAGGGTGTTTCTTTTAGCTTATTGGCAGAGTGCTTGCTTAGCAAGTATGAGGGCTTAGGTTCGATCTACAGCACCACGAAATAAAAACCCAAACAAACATGCCAAAGACCAACAACAAGCAGGTAAGGATGAGAGAAACATCTCTATGCAGCTATTTGTCTTAATTATTCCTCATGACTTAGATCCAAGGGCAATTATAAATTTAAAGACACTTGCTCACTGCCATTGCATAGTGAGTCATCATTTCATTTTGGCATTTTTTCTGACTTCTATAATCAGCTAATCAGAAATCAACGTATATTTCAGAGCAAAATCAAGTTTCTTATGCATTACTATTTGCAAAAGATAGGCAAAAAGATCTGTTTATAGGCTTAATTTTGAACATTTCTGTATGTTATGAGATAGGTAGGGTATCTAGTGTGTATTCCTGGATAATCTGTTTATTTGAACCAGTAAAAATGCCGTGGACTATTTTTACATTTGCCTCTTAAAAGTAGGAAACTTTGACTAGCGTCTTATTATTATTTATTTTTAACACATTAGTGGAAGGCTTGTGAGGTGGGTTTCTAGCTTAGTCTCATTTGTTTACTGTGTAATTTAGAAATTACGCTTCAGAGGGACTCGATATCTGTGCTTGTCTGGCTTGCACAATAGTAAATGGGCCTGATTCTAATAAATGTAAAATATTGAAACATTTACCAATATGAAGAGCCTAAAATGAAAAAAAAAAGTGTGCTTTAATGCAGAAGCAAATAGAAATACAAAGTTTCATTTTCAAATGGAGTCATGGCTCACATCATCTCATTTTCTTCATTCGAGGAGGAAAACATTAACACGAGTCACAGTTGTCCTCCGATTCATCTGATCTAATTTTCAACTTCTAAAGTGTCGGGCACTGACGTCTGTTCTCATGAACCTTGTCTGACTTATAATGAAAAAAGAACACTGTTTTTTTTTTCTTCTTCTTCAATTTCCACAGATGGTGTCTTAGTCTGAAAAATGATTCTTATGTAGATTGCCTTACTGTAGGAATAGGAAGAGGATTAACAGCGGAAAACTGCTATTCAATGTTAGCCTTGTGTATTTCAGTATAACTGGTGAAACATAAACTGATGACATCTTTATATGATTTAGCATCCCCAAAACGCTTTTTGTTTTCATTGCCTTAGACCATGCTTTGGAATTCAAGGGTGGAGTGGGGAGGAAGGCAGAGGAGGTTTATACCCACTTCAGATTTTCATTATGGTGGGAAAGACGCGGGTAAGAAAACAACCCATGTGATTTATATTTTTGGTTGTGAGCCTAGCCTTTAAGGGCTGGGCCATCTCTCCAGCCCCCCGTTTTGATATAAGATGATGACATATTTTATGAAGAAAATAATCACTGGTATCCAAGAAAAAGTAACCAGCTTTCTGTAATGCTCTCTGTCTTGTGAAGAGAGGTCTCCTCAATGAGGTGTGAGAACCACACTCACATGTGGTATAGGTCAGATTATTAGGGTGTAGTTAGGTATTACGTTGGTCTAATGGAGTGGTGCTTGCCTCTTCCCCTCCAAGATGTATTTCACTAGCCC